ATCCATTATGCAAATATGGACACATAGGTACTGTGTTATATATATGTATATATATAATTAACATATATATATTTAATAGTTAGAATCTCTATGCCTTATTTTTGTTGTTGTTGTTGAATGCTGGGCACAATCTATTAAACAACAGGAACTAAACAAAACATGCCAAATTGTCAGATGTTTTCTTTTTGAGAGGCAGAAACAATGAGAAAGTTCCTATCTACTGGCTCAACTCCCTAAATGTCCAGAACGGCCAGAGGGTTGAAGTTGGGAGCTGAGAACTCATCCAGGTCTCCCACATGTGTGGCAGGAACCCAATAACTTGGGCCACCATCATTGCCTCCAAGAGTCAGTGTTAGGAAGAAGCTTGAGTTAGGAGTCAGATCTGGGTGTGAGATACAGGTATTCAGCTTCTGAATCAGGACATACTAACCAATGTCTTTACACTAAGCCAAATACTCCTACCTGGCATGGGGCTTCATGTTAATCTTTCCAGAAGTTGGGCTGTGCTTTATGTCTGCTCTAATTGTAGTGAGAGGTTTCAAATTTTTCTGTTTTCATCTCTCTTGCTTCCTTTGGGTTTCCCTACAAACTCCTTAAATAAAGTCTGAACCTTGCAGATATTTCAGTGATAACTCTCAGTGACCATACTGCAGCCCTGGTGATTTGGTGGTAAGGTATGAGGGAAACAGAAGGACTCTGTAACCACACAATCAAGTCTCAGTCTTTTAGTGTCACCAGCTTGCAACCTTCACAAGGGTTTCACAGCTTTTTTTTTTTTTTTGCCTATCTCTATTTATTAACTAATATAAGAAAACAAGATGGGCCTGGAGTTAGATAAGACTTTGGTAAAGTTGTTGGCCTTGCTGGGTAGCTCTTGGTTGTATTGATCAAGTTCTGACACTACCTCAAAATGATCACTTTTCAACTCCCTGAGCTACAAACAGGATTTTTCCTTTAGCCTTTTACCTTAGGCAAAAGCAATGAAGATGTAAGTGTTCACTTAAGAGTGCATCTCCCAGGAGTTTGTCAGTGCTCTGCTAGTTTACACTCTACCTCAAGCAATTTGTTCAAGTTACTGCTTAAGTGCTCCTACCAGTTAATGGCTCCAGTGCCTTCTGTTCCCAATAGGCAGGAGTGAGATGTAATTTTCTGTAATCACTTGTCTCCCAAGATTTCAGGGTTGCAGTTTGCCCTGTGGCTTTGATTTTTCTAATGGTTCCAAGAAGAGTCATTGAGTTTCAGTTTGTTGATTTTTTTTTTCTTGCTGTAAAATGGAAAGTTCTGATTTCCAAACACTTTACATGTTGGAGCTAATACTTGAAGTTGGCAACTAGGTTTTTTTGAAATTGAAGTTATACTCATTGATTTCATCCATATTGATTCTTATAATTCAATGTCCTAAATTTTCTCTACTGTATATTATTCTTTTATGCATATGCCATGCTTTATTCTCCTAATGATGAACATGCACATTGCTTACAAACTGTGAACATTGTAAAATCTCCTAATATGCATTGTGCAAGAGTTTTGCTGTGATAGGTATCTATGAGTGACACTGCTGATTTATACGGTATGATCATCTTCAACTTTACTAAGTATTGCTATGATGTCCTTTCTTAAAGATTTATTTTGCTTTAAAGGCAGAGTGACAGAGCAGGGCGGGAAGACACATGGAAAAAGAGATCTTACATCTGCTGGTTTACTTCCTAAATGGCCACAATGCCTGGCACTGGGTCAGGACCAGGAACCTGGAACTTTGTATAGGTGTTTTATATGGGCAACAGGGGCCAAAGTACTTGGGCCATTTTTTTTTTTTTTGACGGATTCCCAGGCACACCAGCAGGTAGATGGACCATAAGCACAGCAGCGGTATTTGAACTGATGTTCTGATATGAGACGCCAATGTCACAGGCAACCATTCTGCTATAATGCCAGGTGCTGTCATGATGTTCCTAAAACAAGGCTTTCAAATAAATAAATCCTTAAAAAGTAATATTTTAAATAACTAGAACACATAGGAAAAATGATCTAGAAAAGGGCAAAGGTGTAGAACAGTTAATTCACAGAGGGTTCCTGGAACCTAATAAATGATCAGTATCCACATAAGTTCACTTAAAATCAGGGTCATACATAGTAAAACAATGAGATACCTTTAAAAGTAACTGGGCAAAACAAACAGTCTAATGTTACAAAGTCTTGGCTAGGATCAAAGTGGATCTCTGAAATCCTGATCATTTAAAGCTGAAGACACATATCTTACATCTTAGTAATTCCACTCCTAGGTATACAACTTAGAAAATTGATTCTTAAAGTATCATAATCTGACTAGCAGCATCTCCTTAGACTGTACTGGAAGTGCAAATTTTCAGGCCCACTGTAGAGTTAATGGGGTCAATAATGCTGGGAGTTAAGCCAATTTTGTAAAAACCTTTCCCTTATTTATTGCATTATTGTATTTATTTGAAAAGGAGGGTGGGAGAGCAAGAATGAAAGTGAGCAAAAGAGAGATCTCCCATTTGCTAGGGATGAGCAGGCCTCCCTCATGGTGGCATGGATTCTACTAGTTGAGCCATAACCTGTTGCCTTCAAGGGTATGTACGAGCAAGAAGGTGAAATTAAGACTCAAATCCAGGAACTCAAATATGGGACCTGGGCATCCTAAATGACTTCTTAATCAAGACCAAATACCACTCTTGCAATTGTTTTATGTCCCTGAAGTGATTCTGATACACAGTAGCATTTGAGAATCACTGCAATACAACATTTTCTTTCCCAACCTGAGATCTACTGGAAGAACTGTATCTTACATTGCAACTCAAACATAAATTTTATATAGACACACATATATACTGTGACCAAACTAATTTTTCTGTCCTAGAGAAACTCTTACATATGTATAATAAAGAATGTGTAGTAATGTTTGTTGCAGGATTATCTGCGACAATGAAATAATGGAAAGGACAAATCTTGAGGAAACTGGAAAATAGATTATGGTGTATCTCTACAATGCTACACTATTCACTTCTTGTTACACTTGAAATAAACTGTAAAACATTACATATACTAAGTCAAAAAAGTGAGTGTAAAAAGAATATGTAGTTTCAAAAATGTGCACAGTACTGGGTATGGCACAATAGCCTAGTGGCTAAATCTTCGCCTTGCATGCACCCACGATCCCATATGGGGGGTCCTGGCTGTTCCACTTCCCATTGTGCCTGGAAAAGCAATAGAGTATGGCCCAAAGCCTTGGGACCCTGCACCATTTGGGAGACCTGGAAGAAGCTCCAGACTCCTGGCTTCGGATTGGCTCAGCTCTGGCCAATGTGAAGACTTAGGGAGTAAACATGTTTCTCCTTCTCTCTAAATTTGCCTTTGCAATCAAATAAATAAATAAATAAGCTGAAAATATTAAAAAACGTGCACAATACTATGTTCACTATAAATATAGAGCTCATCAACTTCTAGTGGGGTTATTGATAAATCCATTGTAAATTGAAACACTGGAGGTAAAAAATGCATTTACTACACTTGACCTACCACTCATTTTAGCTTAGCAGCACAGCATACTATAGAGCATTGGTTGTTAAGCCTCAAGATCACATGACTGATTGAGCTGGGACTCACTGCCACCATACTGCCCAGCATCACCAGGGAGTACAGCACTGCATATCATTATACTCTGGAAAAGATCAAAATTCAAAATCCAAAATACCATTTCTACTGAATGCATATTCCTTCTGCTCCAATGTAATGTCCAAAAATATTGTAACCTAATTTATTGTAACTTGGGGACTGTATGCATAGGGATATATGGTAAAAAATATATAAATGTGCATGACAATGGGAAATGACAAATTCAAAACAGTGTATTTAACTGGCATGGAGGAAGGAGGAAGCAGGAAAGAGGAAGAACAAGATTGGTGAGGGATATGTGGAAGTCTTCAGGTATAACTACAGTAGTTTGCTATTTTTTAAATTAAGGAAATATGGAAACCATTAAGAACTGATTAAAGTGCCTGGCTGGGTACATAGGTGTGTGACATAGCTTTTGGTATATCCATAATATTTCCTAAGAAAAAGTAAAAAAAAAAATGCTGCTATCCTTGAAGTATGAGCAAGAATATATCAAAAATTCTATGAAACAAAGGAATTTTTCAATATTCCTTACCTACCGTGGCTTTTTAGAAAAATTCAGCAGGAATCACAGATTGACATTATTATTTGTTTTTTGAAATGAAATAAAACAAAGTACATGTTCCAGCAGCTTACGTTGTTTCTTTGCATGACATTAGTAAAGGCGTTTTCTGTTCCAGATGTAACATATGAGTGATTTTCAAAAAAAAATTCAGAGAATGTAATTTATCTTTAAATTCCATTTGACATCAATTTTTGGAGTATTGTAGTATAGCATGCATATTATATTATTTGGTTAATAAGACAAAGATTATAATTACTCAGTTATGTTTGCCAATATATTAAAGCCTTAGAGGGCCTATGTTCTCCATTTAATGTTTTGCCAATGTAATTTAAATCATATGTTACATGAACGCTAGGTGGAGCATCCAGAAGAGAAACTTGTGGTAAAAACAAACCCTACTCACAATCAAGGGTCAATTATTTATTAATTCCAGTAGCAATCTGGTTAACAACCATGATGGTCCCATGAATATTGCTTGATTATTAGTAGCTCAGGAAATCAGAAATCACTTTAATGTCAATTCAGAATTTCTAACGGGTATGGATGAGTCTCATCAAGATACCTTTAAAATTCTAAAGGTAGTTTAGAAACTTACAAAGGCACAAAGAATATCATAGAAAATATGCTAGTTATTGTGATAAGCAGAGAATGAATAGCCAAGGTCAAGGACAAACACAATCACTGTGCTTGTATCATGAGTCCTTGGTAAAAAAACCAAAGGCAGTTTTAAAAGTATCACTTTAAGTAGAGGTAAATAAAAATGAAAAACAACCCATGTTGTTTGTCTTAATTTGGCCTATACCTTGTTTGGCTCCCCTGGATTATATGAAGAAAACATAGGAATTTTGCGGATCTCTTCCTCTGATAAACGATTTCTCTGGATCTCATCTTCTGGGACAAATTCTATCGGCTGCGTCAGCTTCTTAGGCCCAGTCCAACACTGCTCAGGTGAAAAATCAATAACTTTTGCCACATGGAGACCTGGACCTTTACCCTGTGCTGCCTGTTTTCCCTCGTCCTTGAGAAATGATGGGTTCTCAGCTGTGCCACTATCTCCCACTGAGGAGGCTGAGACCAGTGAGTGGGAAGCAAAGGGTTCACCTCTCATAAGTTGGAACTCTTCAAGACGTTTTTTCATTATCATCTCGTGGTAAAAATTTTCCAGGTTGTTCATGGGATCACCTTTGATCTTCTTATGGGGTTCATCTGGATCAAGACAAAGAGATAGCGAAGTTCTACAAAACCTACCAATACAGCCTTTGACAAATTAATCAAAATTCAATCCTGGATTTCATAGACAGAAACTGCTAGGGCAATTCTTCACAACCTGTGACAAATGAGAATAGTATATAGCTTTTTGTAGTACATCTCAGGCGAGGCCAGAATCACAGTGAGGCAAGAAAGATGACTGGGATTCTCAGGATCATGCAAATACAAGAGTATTTCAGAAAGTTTGGGTAATGGAATTAAAGTTTACTGTGGTGCAAAAACTTTTGAAATACAAGAACATGAGAGGTATTCAAAAACTTCCTAAAAATACATAGTATGACAAAACCATGCATAAATTTCAAAAATTTTTAGTACCCCAAATAATAATTTAATTCCATTTTTTGCAAAAAAATTTAAGGTAACCTCTTATAAGCATTGCTAACTGATAAGAACATTTAAAAAATGTAACCAGTATGGCAAAATCATACTTCACAACATTAATAGTAATTCTTTAGTATCATCTAACTTTAGGTTCATATTCAAATTACCCTGATTATCTCAAAGATAAATTTTTATATTTGGTTATTCAATCTGGGATTTAAGCTGGGCTTTGGCTGTTATTACCTTTTAAGTCTCTTTGTCTCTTATTCTTTTCCACCCTTCCAGCTCACTTCCTTTCCTATTTATTGATTTATTAGAGAAACTAAATTTGTTCTACGAACAAATGGATAGTATCAATTCTTTCTTTATGGTATTTTTAAACTTAGTCCTCAGTCCCCTATTTCCTGACAATTAATTCTAGAATGATGCTAGCTAATACAATAGTCACTGGCCACGTGTTTATTTAAATTAATTTTTAACATCACTTTCTCAAAGTTTTAACATTTTAAGTGCTTGGTAGCCACATGTGTCTAGTGGATATCACACTGGAGAGAAGAAATAAAAACTATTTACATCACCATTTCAAGCTGCATTGGACAGTACTGATCTATAGGGTAAATTCAGGTTCAATATTGTTAGGCAAGAATCCTTCACAGATGTGGACTTTATATCACATCATGGCATTAAGCACACCCTGTTTGGTGGCTGCATTTTTAGTGATGCTGAGACTGATACACAGATTCATGTAGCATTAGTCTCATCTTTTCATTATGAAATTCTTTCATTTACCTCTAACCTAAGGGATTTTACATCCACTGGTGATCATTACCAAGACCTATTAATTTATTAAGACTTGCAAGGTGGGGCTTTCCTAATTCCATTATTTCTTTTGTATCTACTATGTACAATTCTATAATGAACTTACCGTCACCAACTATTTGATTTCTTTCATTCAAACAATCATGCTTGATTCTCCACACCCCATTATTTATCAGTTATGAGAAAAGTGAGTTAGTACCTTAGAAATGTCCAAAGCTTATTTTTGGTATAATTATGAGAACATGTGATTTCCTGTATTACATGTGTTTCAATTAAATGTAATAATTATTTTCTGTGGTCAAACTACTTAAGACCGGGAGAGTCCCCTTCAAATCACTTCTTGTATTGTTTACTGATTTTCTGGCAAAGTAAGATACCCTGTGTTCATCTCACACAAACCCAAATACGTTATACTATCTCCAAGGACTTGTAATTCCTTCTAGAGAGAAGTGGTGTCTAGACACCACTGTTTGTTGCCAGGCATGCTTAACGTTGTTGAGTCACTGTTGCTTCCAGGCCTTCTGATTGAACACAGTTAGGAAATTTTTTGAGGAAAATAAATCGTGAAACCATATTAATATTTCCAATTCAAATATACGTTTGCAAGGTTCCTACTTACACATTTTGATGTTAGATTTATATCTCTTTCCTCATAAACTTAAAACATTGGTTATTCTTAATAATATTAGTAAAAATACTCACTAGCTTCTTCCTACAATACACTTAAAGATTTTTAAAATGTCAATAACAATGTTATCATGACTATCAACAATAAAAGCCACTGAACGCATTTTTACATTTCTTTGCATTTCCTTTTGTTCTGAGAATATAACCCATTAGGAATATACAATTACGGCTTTAAAATTACTCTAACTGAATCTTCTGTGTGGTTATGCTTTATTGCTTTTTTTTAGGATTATTTCTTTCAGGTTGTTATGGAATTCTAGGGATTTTTTCCCCCTCCTCGATTAACAGTTTAATTATGTAAAACATTTACGTGGATCTATAGTGAAAACTTTTATACAGCATCTTTACAGAAGTGTCATTTCCATCTCTGTTCCCTTCATCCCATTCCCTTCCTTCCCCATAAACAATATCTTAATTTTAAGGTTTGGCTTATGACTCCACTATTTCTTTTTGAAAATATAAGCAAATAAGCATACATACATACATACATATATATATTTCATTAATTACAATTCTCTGCTACATAAAAGGTAATGTATAAACACTGTTATAGTAACTACAATTTTGTATTTAACAATGTAAACTATTGATAATTGCATATTAATATGTGGAGCTCTTCTTTCTTCTTATACTGCACAATACTCCATTGTATGGATGCAAATAGTTTACTCAACTACTCTCCTAATGATACACTTTGGTCTTATGCTATTATGAATAATGCTCTTAAAAAGCTTTGGTATTTAGACAGTATATATTAGAAATATACTATAAGAAGTGGAATTGCTGAGACAAACGGTATATGTGTATGTAATTTCCCTATATATTGCTAAATTCCACTCTATAGGAGTTAAATTATTCTGTATTTCCACCAGCAAGGCATAAGAGTACAGAAGCATTTCTTAAGATCCAAAAATTCCCCAGAAAGAACTCAACATTACAGATAAAAATAGATAAATCAACTACATAAAAATTGAGAACTTCTGTTTATCAACAGTGTCATAAAAAGATGAGGAAAAAAAGTCATAGAATACAAACAGGTATTTGCTATATGAATAACCAATAGTGAACGTAAATCCAGAATATACAGATCCTGGAAATCACTAAGAAACAATGGAAAACCATAAGGAAAATGGAGAAAAGATTAAAGAGAAGTTGTATAAAAGAGGAAATTCACATAGCCAAGAATATATGCAAAAGTACTTAGCCATATTTAGGTAGGATTCAGAAAACTATAAGAAGGCAATGAGATCCTAGTAGAAAACTGACTGGTAGAGATGACAAAGAATAATGCCATATGTAAGAAGACATTTCAAAAGGATGGTGGAAAGTGGAATTAAAAGATAAGTTTATTTTGATGCAAAACATTTTTCAAGTCCATAAATATGAAACACCTTTAAAATTGTGTAAAATGTATATTATGAAACATCTATGTGCGGGTTTCATTTTTTTATAAAACTAAGCTTTAATTTCCTTTTTCCAGGATCTTTTTATAGTGTCCTTGAGTTGTACAGTTACAGACCAAACAGAACTGAGTGAATATGCTAATGCATATAGTAGAAAAATTATATATTTTTGTATATTATCTTTCTCTTTATTTATATAGACATATATTTGATCAGCAATATGAGCCAGGTATTATTCTAGACTAAAAGGAGTAGATTAATAAAGAGATCTACTTTTATACAGCTGCTAAACTATGTTAGAAGGATGTGAATACTATGAAAAAAAAAAAAAAACCACCAGAATCCAGCAAGATCCAACATGATAGGAAGAAGCAGGAGGTAGTAGTGATGATGGTTGTAATCTTAATGTTGATCTGGATAGATCTCATTGATTAGCTGACATCTGAGTGAAGATCTAAAGAAAGTAAGGCAACCTATCAAATGATAATACATTGAGGACCTAAAGTGGTAGTATGCTTCAAAAAATGTGAAGATACTGAAAACACAAAGTATGAGATAACACAAATATGTGGAAATTAAGCAACATACTTAGAGATAATCATTAGTCAAAGAGCTCTCAAAGGAAATTTAAAAACAGGTTTGAATTGAATGAAAATGGAAACATGACACACTAAAGTGTATGGATGCAGCTAAAATAATGCACAGAGAGAAATGGAGCTAAATGACTATCAGAAAGGAAGAATGTTTTCAAATTTGTAACCTGAGCTCCTAAGAAAACCAGAGTAAACATAAAGCAAGAAGAAGGAAATAAATAACAATGAATCAATACAACAGAAAACACAAAAGAAGAGAAAATCAACAAAACAAAAAGTTGGTACCTTGAAGCATTTAAACAAATATCAAACCCCTATCTTCATGGCAAAAGGGACTATATAGCCATGTTTAAGTTAAGGATACTGAGTTAAGGAGGCTATCTTAGATTACGCAGGTAGGAGTGCTTGCTTTGGCAGCACATATGCTAAGATTATGCAGGTAGGCACAATGTAATCGCAACAGTGCTTAAATAAGGAAGCAGGAAGGTCAGAGATAGGATAGGAGATGAGATGATAGATGCAGAATTTGGAGCAATGTACATAATACAACATGAATCAAAGAACACAGGTGGCCTTGAGGAGCTGTGCAAAGTTCACTCTAGGCCCTTTAAAAGAAATACAGTCCTGCCAGCACCATGATTTCGGAAATTCTAACCTCTAGAGCTGTTTAGCTCTTCAAATGTATGGAATAATTATAGCACACATGGGAAAATAATACAATATCAAAAAGCACGTATAGAGAACCTACAGCTCACATCATACATAATATTTAACTGAATCTGTTCCTCTACGATGAGAAAAATGCAGGAATATTATTTTCGGGTGTGGCACAATGGCTCAATTGGTTAATTTCCACCCCTGCAAGCACTGGGATCCCATGTGGGCACCCGTTCATGTCCTGGCTCTCCACTTCCCATTCAGCATCCTGCCTGTAGTCTAGGAAAGCACTAGAGGATGGCCCAAAGCCTTGGGACCCTGTATCCGCATAGGAGACCCAGAAGAAGCTCTTGGCTTCAAATTAGCTCAGCTCTGGCCATTGCGGCCATTTGGGGATGAACCAACAGATGGAAGATGTTTGTTTGTCTTTCTCTCCGTAAATCTGTTTTCCAATGAAAAATGAATAAATCTTTCCTTTCATTGAAAAACAAAAATAATATTAGTTTTC